AAGGAAGGAAGGAAGGAAGGAAGGAAGGAAGGAAGGAAGGAAGGAAGAAAGAAAGAAAGAGGGAAGGAGGGAAGGAGGGAGGGAGGGAGGGAAGGAGGGAGGATTTGAGCCCTGTGGATCTGAGCATAATGGTGAAACAAATTCAATGTACCTGAAATGTCATAATTCTAAATAAAATATTTCAGGATATCAACATCATTTAAACACCTGAATAAACACTACTGACAACTCAGTCAGGGCTTGGTTAGCTGTATGACAGGTGCTAGAAACATTTCACCTAAAAAGCATATACATCAGCAAATCCTAATGGCATGGCCTACAATTCCTTTATTTCTAGCAACATTAAATATTGTTCACACTATGCTTGGCTGGTTTTCCTTTTGATAACAGATCTAGTCAAAAATCTTTAAGTCTCTTGCCTTTTAATAGGTGAGAATGCATGTCAATATTCACTGAAGCAAACAGGTTTTCAACATGCTTAACTTTGAATCAACCGGTTGGAATCTGACAAACCTAAGTCTAATTTGAAATTCAAGCCATCCCAGGGGTAGAATGAATGGAAGAGCATTAAAATAAATAGTCAAAAGAAAGAAAGAAAGAAACAAGATTTTCAACTCTGTTAAGTGTTATCAGGAAAAAAGGAAGATACTCTTTTTGAAGTAATGTTTCAAATTTTAAAAAAAATGCAAAAGTGTTACCAATCCAAATAGAAACCTTTTAAGCAAATACATATGAAACTCTATACCGGCATATTTATTCAGAAGCTAATGGAGCTTTTACTCCAACTTTTGGGGAATAACAAAAGGTCTCCTAATAATTTGTAAAAAAAAAAAAAATGTACTGGAATGGTTCCAAGTGGGGCTATCCAAATCTGTACACTTGTTTTTCTTGTTTTTCCTTCTGTTTTAAATGACCTTCACTTTGATTTATTTCATTTCTAAATCCATTCGGTTAAATCAATCCATCAATAAAATAAATTGGATACAGAAATCATAGGCACTTCCATGCATAATTCTTATAAGACAAACAACTTTGCATAGTTTCCCTATTGAGTACTTTTAATTAGCAACCTTGGACTACTAATAGGGAATTTTCCATTTTGTATAAATACCTTGAGTACATAGAAGTATGAATGTCCATGTACAATAGCAGTCCAACTTATATAAAAGTTTTACTTATTTTAGTTCTTTACATTTTGAATAGAAACAGGAGCCAAGATTGAGAGGATCATTAGTTTCAAAGCTGCAACTAATTAATAATAATATTGGATTCTGAGGGGAAATCAGTGTATAAACACAAACACAAAAATTAAGAATGTTCACTTTTTTGATACAGTAAATCTCGAAATAATGTCTGTGGCAATTTAGGATAATTAAAGTATTGTATGTGCTTAAGGATAATGAAAGTATGTGCTTAAGTAAGGAAAGCCATGTGTAATCTTGCAATGTTGACATTTTTGTCTGATTGCATCAGTTGACTTACCCCTCTACACAAGAATCCAACTTAAGCCCAAGGCTCACTCCCAAGAAACTGGATCCAGTAAAAAAAAATGTGCATAAGTGCTAATGTATACTATTAAAGCAGAACTCTGTTAAGGATTTATTTTAGACAGGGCATATCAAGTTGTGATGAAAAAGTGAAGACTATGGAGTGCTTTCTCACAAGACGCCTAGTTCTCTTGCAGCCTTAGGAAAACAGAAAAAATCCGTTTACTCTAGAACTCCCAATGAGAATGAAGGCATTCCTGAGCATCAGATCTATTCTGGCACAACTCAAACAAAGTTTGAGTTTTGAAATGTTGTAGGTGCCAGTGAGAATGATTGAGACGGGACTTCTTAACCGCCCCTGGAAGCGATTTAAAGCATAGCTTCAGCTCCGCTTAATGGCTGCCTCTGTCTTATCAGTTTGGTGATCAATTCGCCACGGAATAACCTAGAAAGTTCTTTAAAACCCGTGCAACAGCGACTGGACATAGTGTTGCTAGCATCTGCTTAGATACCACGCCTGCAAAACCCAACTACACCGCTGTATGCTTGGTGTGCCTAAACGAGTTGGCTTCCCCAAGCAGATCGGCAGGCGACCATGCAATTCTTCTCCAGCGACAAAAAGATTCCGAAGTTCGGTCGCCACCGAGACTAAGCGGCGCGGTCGGACCGAAGGGACGTCTGCTTAAGCCCTCTTTAATCCCCGGAGGAGGAGGAGGAAGAGGAGGAGAAGCCGAGCTGCTTCTTTGCGCAGTTCACTCAAAAGTCAACGTGAAGGGAAGGAACCGGCAAGGCAGGTGGAGGGGACGCTCTTCCCACCTGATGCCGGAGAAACGGCCGGCTTAACCGACTACACGAATCCCAACTCGAAGGGTCCCCGGTTTCCTAAAGGGCGGCCCGCCACCCATCATCGCGCCAAGTCCCGGGTCAAGCTCGGCTGAGCTAGCGAGGGTTTTCTCCCTATAACTGAGCAAAACGGGGCAGCAAAGCACAGCAGGGAACGTGGCTGGGGAGCTGCGCGTTGTTGGGCTTTCAATCAATCAAACTAGAGCTGGAAGAGACCTTAGAGGTCTTCTAGTCCAACCCCCCTGGATACCCAGTACTATTTCAGACAAGTGGCTTCAAAAGAGGGACCTTTGTTTTTTTTTCAAATGCAGATGGACTACTGAATCTGGTCTTCCTTGGCCGGCCAGGGGCGCTCCTCCGGGTAAACGCTCGCTCGAGTAAGCTTACCTGTGCGCGGCGCCTTCACCTGTTGCCCGGCCGCCTCCATCGGCGAAGGGCAGCGGCTCCCCCTTGATTTCGCGCAGCACCAGCGCCTTCTCCTCCGGGCGGGGGAACTCAGCGAAGTCCCCCCCGCTGCTTCCTCCTCCTCCTCCTCTTCCTCCACCTGGCCTTTCGTCCAGAGACTCGACGTAGAAGATGGTGCGAGGGGCCGTCGGAGGGCCTTGCGGCTCGGCCAGCCCATGAAGCCGGGTGGCCGGCAGCGACGTCCCGTTGAGGGGCGAGGAAGAGACGGCGCAGGGCGGCGGGCAGGCGGCGGCCGAGGACTGCGAGGGCGAGGCGGAGGAAGCTTTCTTCCAGAAGCCGCCTCCTCCTCCTCCTCCGCTTCGCTCCTGGCTCTTCAGCAGCCGGCTCTGGCTCGGGCCCCAGTGCTCGAAGCTGCCGTCCGGTTGCAAGCAGCCGCCCGCGGGCGCCGCCGGGTGACTGAACAGTTTCCAGCGGAGGCGCAAGATGTGCTTCACGTCAAAGTCCTTCCTGCTCGAGTTCGACATCCTGCAGCGGCGGAGGCGAGGCTGGCGCTGCTTCTCAGGCTCGGCCGGGACGCGCAAGGGAGGACTGAGCGGCGGGCGCTGCTACCGGCAGCTGAGACGAGGCGAGCCAGGAGTGGACTGGCGGCGGCGGTGGCTACTGGCAGGGCCTCCCCGCGCCGGAGAGTCCGCAGCGCCCGAGGCGCAGGAAGCAGCCGGGCTGCCGCCGAGCGACTAAAAGGGGAAGGAAAGCGCGCTATGTGAAGTAGTAGCCCCCCCCACCTCCTCCTCGTTTCCACCCCACCCCCCCAACCCGGCTCAGCAACGGCGGAGGCTGCACCTGGAGCGCCCCGAATGTTGCGCTCCGATGGGAAGGAGGAGTCGAGGAACGGCGCGAAAAGTTGCCGGGCTTTTAAGCTCTGGGTTAGTGGCCGGGGAAAAACGGGTGGGGAAGAGGGTGGGCGGGCGAGCGAGTGAGCGAGCGGGGGTCTTTTTCTGAGCGAGGGGAGGAGGGAAGGTGCTACAGCTCCCTGGCGCCCCCAACCGGGCTGGCTTCTCAGGCGTTGGTCCTGACTTTCTTTCCAAAGCGCTGTCCAGCACTCTTAAGAGTTTCTCTCTGCTAGAGATGTTTTCATGGGGGCGCTTTTCCAGCAGCGTTCAGCCTCGTTAGGATCCCCATTGCTTGCCCCAGTTTCCCTCGTGTTTTTTTCCCAGGCCCCCACCCGGTTGGAAAGGAGTTAGCCCACCCAAGCAGGATCCCTCATACAGAACCTGCTTCTCGTAACCTGGGTCCCAAATCAAGATCTTGAAAAACTGGACAGCTTAGAACTATGCCGCCTAGGGTCTGACCTCATGCTTAGTACACAAAATTGTCTGCTACAGTGTCCTACCTGTCAATGACTACTTCAGCTTCAACCACAATAACACACAGGCAAACAAAAGATACAAACTCAAAATAAACTTCTCCAAACTCGATTGCAGAAAATACGACTTCAGCAACAGAGTGGTCAATGCCTGGAATTCACTACCAGACTCTGTTACATCCTCTCAAACCCACAAAACTTTAAACTGTCTACCATGGACCCCATTCCATTCCTAAGAGGTCTACATAAGTGCACCAGCATGCCTACCATCCCCGTCCTACTGTTCCCATTTATTCGTAGTCCTTTATTATGTATATACTTATACATGTTTATACTTTTATGTTTATATGTTATGTTCATACTTATACTTGTTTTCTCATACATGCTTGACAAACTAATTAACTAACTAAATATAAATAAATAAATAAATCCAGTGATCCTGAGTTTCTTTCTCATCTTTTTCCCTCCTTTACCACAGGGACTGCTCTTCACCCAAGCAAACTCTGAACCAGCCTTGATCAGGTTGACTCCAGCCAGCATTTTAGGCTGTCCAGAGCTCCTGGCGGCCAGGAACTTCCAAGACAAAGTCTTCTTCTTCAGAACTCTTTATTCCTAAAGTCACTTCCTGAAGTGGAGGTTGTGAGTTGGGCTGGTTCATACCTTGCTCTTCAGCTCGGGAACATTTTGTCCACCCAAACTCAGTCCTCAAGATAATGATTGCTTATTATACCCTATGATTATTATTAAGTGTTGTACCTTATAATTCTTGACTCTTGACGAATGTATCTTTTCCTTTATGTACACTGAGAGCATTTGCACCAAGACAAATTCCCTGTGTGTCCAATCACACTAGACCAATAAAAGAATTCTATTCTATTCTGTTCTGTTCTGTTCTGTTCTGTTCTATTCTATTTCTAATTCTATTCTATTTCCTACCCCTATCCCTTACTTTTATTCTATTCTATTCTATTTCTATTTCTAATTCTATTCCCTACTCCTTTTCTAACCCCTACCCCTCGCCTCTATTCTCTTCTCTTCCCTTCCCTTCCCTTCCCTACCCTACCCTACCCCTTACTTCTATTCTATTCTATTCCTATTCTATTTCTATTTCTATTTCTATTTCTATTTCTAATTCTAAGATTCTAATTCTAATTCCAATTCCAATTCCAATTCCAATTATAATTCTAATTCTAATTCTATTCCCTACTCCTATTCTTATCCCTATCCCTTACCTCTATTCTCTTCCCTTCCCTCCCCTCCCCTACCCCTATTCTATTCTACTCTATTCCTATTCTATTCCTATTCTATTCCTATTCTATTCTCTTCCCTTCCCTTCCCTCCTCACCCCTACCCCTTACTTCTATTCTATTCTATTCTATTCTATTCTATTCTATTCTATTCTATTCTATTCTATTCTATTCTATTCTATTCTATCCTATCCTATCCTATCCTATCCTATCCTATCCTATCCTATCCTATCCTATCCTATGAAGCATCCATTCTAGGTCTCTTTCTCTGACTCCGTGCAAAAGTTTTGTCAACTGAGGATCATGCTAACTTTCTCTTCCTTTCTATAATCCTATTTTGATCCAATGTTCTTTAAACATGAATCGAAAATGAAACTACATTCCACAGTAATTGTAAGAGAACTCATGTGTGAACTGTAGAGCTTTTATCCCATCTCATGTGGAGATAAGGTTGCGACACGGCTGCTAACTAGAACCACCTCTGTTTGGGATTTACCTCCATATGAATGTTTGTCAGGTCACCCAGGAACTGACAGAAAGCTTTATTTCAGGAATACTCGATCTATCAAAATTTGAGAATGCACTGTAACTGTCTAATTCCTGCAGTAGCCTTGACTGTCACTTTCAAGCAGTGTTTTGTATAGTGCTAAACCCAAAATCAAGGAGGCTGGGCAAGAAGAACCTCCACAGACTCCCAGAATGATAGGTTGGATTGAGAAGTTGATGCAACATCTAAGGAAAAGGGAATGGTAAACCAAGTGTAAAAAGTTAGCACTAGAAGAATGAAATATTTTGGGAAATATTATAAAAATATTATAAAAATATTATAAAATATTATAAAAAAGCAGAATATTATATTTCCCTAAAGGAGAAACATGTTCTTGGAAAGCAGCCCCCATCTTTCTTATTAGCCCCAGCAGAACTTGGCCAGCCTATCTACAAGACAAAAGGCCTTCAGCACCAGGATGATGGGATTATCCTTCAGGGCAAAGCTATTCAGCCACAATAGAAACTGCATTGCATCAGCCCAAATTTCAACCAAGCTTGACTCAGAAAACCTACAAAGTTAGCTATGACTGCTGCATAACCCTGTGGGAGTCTGACAGCAACCAATAGAATACATGTCCTTGCCACAGGAACAGGAAGCTCAAGGGCAAGGCCCAAGAGATGGTATAAATAACACTCTCTCTCCACTCCATGTGCCCAGCTGCCCAGGACCTCAAACCCATGTGGTCCTATCCATCAATAAACCATCTTTCCAATCAGCCTCCATGTTTCCAGTGTCTTTCTCCCCACTTGGATCTGAACCCAGATGGATATTTCTTCCAACACAAGAAAACTACAGTATGTCAATGCTGATGCATCAAGAACTGGGTTCAACTTGAAAAAAAAAACTTTAATAATTCTTCTAAAGAGCCCACTTTTCCAACTAATAGAAAAATGTGCTTGGATTCAGGGTGGAACTCCACTTTCAATAGTTTGGAGGATTCGTTGGTGTTGTCCTCTGTTAACTATCCAAGAGCCAAGATGTTCTTTGGGAATTAGAGGTTCTAAAGGTGAGATTCTAAAAAAGAACTTTAATTGAATAGATATTGGGATGTACAGAAAAAGAAATATCAACCAATCCAGATCCTTCAGCTTATTTGGAACTTCAGGGATGGCAGCAGATGGAAACTTAATAGCCAGCATTTGCCCAGCATTCTCCTAGCACCTTAGGAATCTACAACAGTCTGTGGGATTTTGCAGCCCTTTGTATTAAGAAGAATCATATAAATATCCCAAGTATACTTTTAGTGAAGGCAAAGTCTCCTTCAGGCAGCAGCTGAGATGGTCTGATGACATGGCTGGCCAATAGTTTTGAAACCTAGAAAAATAACACTTTGCTAAGAATGTGTTTATGGGGACACTGTTGCAGCATACAGCCATTACTCCTGCTCCCCTTAGCTGCTGTTAAATTAAGGAACTGATGTTTATCTTAATTGTTACAAGGAGAAATATAGACAGGAGGCTTCCAAGCAAGAATGATTAACCACACAATGGTGCAACCCACAAACCTTGCTGAATATCTGCTAAGTGCACACATGGGGAAACACACCATATAAAGTTTGCACCAGCTGTCTACTTCAGCACAGCCCTCTCTTATACATAACCAAAGGAAAAAACAAGTTTGTTGGTGCCACCAAACTTCCATGGTGCCAGGAATTTCTGCCACTCTGGAATTCTGTAACTAAGCAACAACAACTGAGCAGGATTTGGGTATGGCTAGTCTTACCGAAAAGAAGGACAAGGGGTGGCATGCTAGCAGTGTTCTGGTATTAGAGGCCCCTCTAATTATTTTCCAAAGCACCAGAAGGCAAGAGAAAAGAAACAACGGATGGAAACTAAGCAAGGAGAGAAGCAACCTGGAATTAAGGAGAAATTTCCTAATGGTGAGATCAATTAACCAGTGGAATAACTTGCCTTCAGAAGTTGTGCATGCTGCATCGCTGAAGACTTTTAAGAAGAGACTGGACAGCCACTTGTCTGACATGGTAGAGGGCTGTGATGGCGAACCTATGGCATATGTGCCACAAGTGGCACGCAGAACCATTTGTGCCGGCATGCAAGCCGCAGGCAAACTTACCTCACTGCGTATGTGTGCGCCTCACAGCTGATTTTTCTGTAGGTTTCAGGCCTTTTTCGGCCTCCCAGAGGCTTGGAAAAAGCTTCTGCAAGGCTTTTCAGGATGAATAGGTCCATTTCGTCACTTCCTATAATACCGGAAGTGACGAAACGGGCATATTATTCGGCCCGAAAAGACTTGCAGAGGCTTTTTCCAACCCTCTGGGAGGCTGAAAAAGACCTCAAACCAGCCGAAAAATCGGCTGTGAGGCACCGTGCAGGTGAGGGGGTGGCGGGGAGGGGGGAATTGTGT